GTGATTACAGTTATAATGAATATATATTTGTTTTGTAAGTGTTGAGTGGTTAAAATTGAAATCGAATCATGTGTGTTAATAAATGTTTAGAAATGACTTAATCATATTATATAGGAATGTATGAAAAAATAGTTTAGTAACGGATGCAGACCGCGATATTTGTTACATCAATTAAAGTATTAAAGTGCAATTTAATAGCTTAATTGAAATCCAAATTATATTGTATTTTATACACAAGGCGGCGAAGTCGGATGGGTTAATAGACATTGGTGTTTGAAAAGTGCGATTTTTTTTTTTTTTTTTTTTTACGTGTGGTGCACGTGAAACTTGCGTATGTGTGATGTTCGTCTCAGCGGGTTTGAATGCGCGGAACAAACTTACGATAACGAGTTATAAGACAATAACTTTCAAAATGCATTGAAAATGAAAAATAATCGCTATTCAAATGTACAAATCGAAATTCGACGTGGTTCCGCCACTTGCCCATTCGATCCGTCTGCGTACGCTTTTTGGTCCACGTATTGTATTATTAATTTGCAAACGTTTCTACTGCAGGTGTGTGCACATGTGTGCATGCGTGTTTGCGTGTTCGTACGAGTGCGTGTGTGTTTGGAAAAGGTCTGGCGAAAATGTCTTTTGTCGCACAGGCAAAGTTTCCTTATTGAAAATCTCGTTAACGAGACAGAAGTTTTTTCCCCTGCAGTCGCGAACTCGCCACAAATCGGCTAACAGTGAAAACTTAGTAATGCCAAACTGCCGCTCGACGCCTTGTTGATTCTTCGTACGTGATATGGTCGACCCCACCGCCTTCGACGCTGCACTACATTACATACAGGGTGTTTGACGGAAGGGTTCAAAAACGTTTTTATATTGTTTGTACATGTATCTTCTCATTTCTTAACTTTCTAGACATTTGGTGTCTATCTATACATACATACACAAATACATGTTCTAAATACGACAATGATGTAATAACAACAAGCGTTCATATTGTTGTTACATATATATTACGTGCGAGTGTACATAGCTTAACAATGTGTGGCGGGATAAGAACTGGATAAACATTTTTAACTGCTGAACCTGCAAGCACGCTGTATAGTTTGCAATGAAAGTTGTTGCTATAAAACTTTGAACGTGAAACAAATATTCGAACGTAATTTGTACAATGTATGAATAGAAACGCACGTTTGCAGGATTTAAAATCGCAGTGCATTTACATCTTGTGACATGTGTGATGACGTATACTAACATTTATGAAAATCTTATATCGTTTATCAACCAAAAGGTCAGTTTATTATTAACTTAATCTTTCTACGACTTATATGTGTAGGTATTTTGTTTTCCGTTGAAAAATGTGAAACCTCGCCCCTGGTTCATCTTGATGTGATTATGAAAATAAAGAAGATAAAAAATATGAATATTAATAAAACAATGAAATCAATATAAATTTACTAAGTAATTTTAACCATATTGAATTCCCAAATCGCCAGAGAGACTTTGGCTGCGAGTCGTTTTTTTTTTTTTTTTTTTTTACTTAGGTCGTTCTTTAAGTCGATTTTTCGTGTCTGCATGAAATTAAAGTAATGTTCACTTTCAAAACCTTTTATCAGAGTTACATTCCGTTCTACGCCCACCGCGCTAGCCTATGAATAGTTTTTCAAATCTCAAAGACGCTTGTTTTCATTTATTACCGCTTACCGTTATTTTTTTCTAATATATATTATTAATTACATAAACTAATCACGTTCTTAATTATCTTTGAGATTATTTCGTAGTTATTTATTAAAAATCACGCCCTTTCAGAAGAGGATCGCTAGTAATCAAAAGGCGGCAACTGATTTCGTAAGTTTTTTTTTTTTTAAATAAACATAAAACATGGCCAGATCATCGAATATCAAATTAAAGTAATTTGTATTTGGATCTCCTCGAAATCACCAAAATGATTGTAATATTTAATCACCGCGTGTACGATTGCTTTTCCAAATACGAGTACACGCACAGTACGACGGTTAAAATAAGTTTTTAATTAAAGTCTACCGTACGTATTGTACGTGTAGCACACCAGTATATACATATGTTTAATTATATGCGCATACTTCACTCCCACCCGGAAACCGCGTTCGTATATTATTTCAGAGTAGTCATTCGGCATACAGTGTGTCCGCCTGCACCCGGTACAAGGGACTGCTGATCTCTGTAGTCACCTCGGTCACGCGTGCATCGCGTTTCAATCCGTATTTATATATCATGATGTACTTGAAATAATTCGATACACGCGTATTTATTCTTAGACAATTTTCACGTGGGAAACGCAGTATACCTGACACCGTGATTGTGTTCCGACTGTGGAACAAATATTAGCACACCGACCGAAGATGAGAACTGTAATACTCCCCTCGGTGGAGGCACCTGGCCGTTTCGAATGTGTCAGTCGTGGACAACAAAAACACAAAAAAAAAAAAAAAAATTAAAATGAACACATCATTTGGATTATTATAACAATATGTCCCTATAGCTTTTTAAGAAATATACATTAGCACTCTTGAACGTTGAAAATATTCTCCAACGCACTCGCTCACCGTGCAACGTATTCATATACGCGTCAACAATGAAGCGCGCGCGCGTGAATCGTGTGACGGGTCAAATATTTCCGACTGCGTTAGACACGATTTCATTTTTTCTTTTCCAACCGCATGTTGTTTAAAATAAAAATTAAACTCTATGATTCTTTTATTTCTTGTTATTAAGTGCGCGCCGCGATTAGAGAAGAAATATTGTATATACCTGTAAATTTTTTTTTTTTTTTTTTAACATGCCGTTGAATCGTTTAGGTTTTCACGAAGTGTCTGTCAATGCGGTGGTGTAACGCGTGTTTATACGTATTCGCTTATGTACCTATTGAATTTTAAAGAGATGAATAAAAAAAACAAACCCCGTACTCGAAAAAAACGAACAATATGCTAATGCGTTTGTGTCAACGTTTAAAATAAAATGTTTCATGAAATATTAATTAAATCTTAAATGGAATTGAAATACAACGATAAACGAGTATATTATGTACAATACGTCAGAACTGGTATGTGAGCAAACGGTTTATTTGCGTTCAATGAAATATTCAACGTCTAAGTAGTTGTTTACCTTAATTGTTTACATGCGATTCTTGCGAATAAAAAATGAAAGTTTTAATTATTTAATATCGTTGAACGTATTAACGTTGAACTTCCCTTTGTACTACGAACATTGAACGCGTTTAAGTGTATTGTTTGCTTTCGTGCCGCGTTCACGATATTATTGTAAATATATTTCATTATGTTTGACTCCGTTGTTACTTATCAAAATAATAATTGCTGATGTCCCATATGCTGTATAGCGTGTACCTATCACACAATACATTAAAATTGAACACGTGACATTAAAACGCGTATTGTCTCGACCGCGATGTCGACAAGATTTATGGGCAACGAAACGTTTACGGTTCTTCGCAGATGGTCGCGGGACACGCTTCTTCTTTTCTTCTTTTCCTTTTTTTTTTTGTTCGTTTTCTTTAACATAAAATAAGTCATCAACACGCGTGCGTGGACTTCGGCATACGACGGTCAAAAAAAACCAAAACAGTCGCGTAGTAGTAGTAGTAGTAGTAGTAGTAGTAGTAGTAGTAGTAGTTATACTCGACCCAAACGCTGATGAAGATGGATAAAACGATATTATTATTATTGTTATTATTATTACTATATTTTATTCTCTCTCGAAAAGAATCGGCTGCGCCTCACAGGTACGTCGTATATTATTTGCGCCGTAAAATATGATACGCAAGATTGTTATCGTCTCCACCGATCTGCGGGTTTCTTCATCTTTTTTTTTTTTTCGAAAAACGCGATTTATTGTGCGGCCGGTCGACAGCGCGCGTGTACAATTGAGACACAAAACCGACGTGCTCTGAATCGCGAGTTCGTGATCTCTGCGCGCTCTCCGGCCACCACCGACGTGCATCGCGGCGCGTACGTTTGCCTCGCTATCACGATCCTGTCGCGTCGCGGTAAGCGGTTAATGCGTGCGGTCACGTGTACGGTACGTGTACATCTACGATACCGCGGTCGAATCGCGAATTCGTCGTGTACAACACACTGCGCCAGGGACGTATTTAGGGGCATCGATCGTATTTTATGGTATTTCACCAAATTGCAAATTTACTTACAGTATAATTTGAATAAATGTTGTGCACAATTTATAGATTTTACATATACTGTCTTGATATAATAATTTTCATTTGTATAAATACATGGTATTTATTAATATTATACGGAGGGAGGCATAGCCTCTTACTTACCATAAGTCTTTTCAATTTTAAAACACCCCCGTTAAATGAATCCTGGATACGCCACTGCACCGTTCTACTTCTATCCGGTTTCATATTATCATCGGAGGTACACGAAATCAATACGTGCGCACACGGCGTTGATGAGGGGGTTTGATCCCCCCTTTGACATTTCTGCCCTCGCATGTTCTCGCACTGGCCAACCATCAAGTTTATTTGTGTTAGCTGTGGACGGTGTAACAAAAAACATCGGGCACTCAATTGTTCTTCTTGATTAGTATTGATGTTTTTTTTTTTTAAATTGTCATTGAAGATATAAAATATGTATCGCTTTTTCAAAAATTTAGTACATTGAATTAAACAAAAATGAATGGCTGGCGTTTTGTAATTTTTATAGGCCGTCGTCGTCCATAGGGCTCCATTATTCCCCTCTTTCAATCATTAACACCATCCCCAACATACAATAAGTTGGTTATATTTTTTATAGTACAAAATGTATACTAGAAATACTAGAAATATATAGCGAAACAAATTTTGCCGGGTCAGCTAGTAGCCTATAAAATAATATTATGTTTATACCAGTATTTAAATCCCCCCCATCCTTTAGTTCTCCATACTTAATAACTTCAACTACGTGTAATACCCGTAAATCGACGGTTTTTCATTGTATACTTTTTTTCCGCAGTGAACGGAGGCTGGTCACCATGGTCGCAGTGGTCCGAATGCAGTTCCAGGTGTGGCAAGGGGCAGCAAAAACGGACCAGGGTGTGCAACAACCCGGTGCCGCTCAATGGTGGCAAAACTTGTCCGGGTCTGGCCGTCCATAAGGCCGAATGTACTTCGATTTGTCCAGGTAAGTCCACAGTATAAACTTAGCGCGCGAACGGCATTCTAAAGCAAGCGGACGTACCGAAAGGAAAATATTCAATTATTCTTGTTCTCGGTATAATAGTACACGTGTACTGCACCGCCGGTATAGTTCCAACGTCTCCGTGCACGTGACCGTTGTATTCGCGTGGAATTTTTCGTTACAGCGCATTCACTCCAACCGCGTCCAAGACCGTTTCTCATAGGCTATTATTTACCACTAGATAATCCTACTTGCTTTTATTCTTTCGTGATTTTGTATCGCTTTAGAAAACTGTCCGCGTTCAGGTAGAAGAGAAAAAAAACGTGCATTGTGCGGTCCGTGGTGCATTAAATAGCCCTGACAAAAATTTTTTTTATCATTTCATTGGCGTAATGCCCATCGCCTCGTCGGTACAATTCGATATCGGTCGGTAGTTTATAGTCGACGTATATTCCGAAAGTTAGTCGTGAAACTAAACAGACTTTAAACGTGAAGTACGCGGGACGAGTTTAAAGCCACCACCGCTGTTCACATATTACTATTATTACTATGCTATTGGTAGGCCGACGGTTGTTTCAAGCATAAGTGTTAACAATGCCGTCGTCACCGTCGCTCTTGTCAGCAAACTAGTTATCCGCTAACGAGTTTTCTATAGAATCCGATGTAGAGTCTTTATTGCGAGCCTCCAGACCTGACCAGTGTAAAGCCGAATAATAATAATAATTAACAGCTTACACGTATATCGTGTATACATATCTATGATTTTTATGATTTTAATTACTAAAATGAAAACATTATACGTTATCCGTTGCAATCAGTAGCTATTGATTATTATTTAATACCGTCTCGCATGACCGCACATTTCCGGTATTTCAGATTATATACAATTATTATTATTCTTACTATACGGCTTACCGCTTATAATGCGTTTGGCCAACATTATATTATCGACCGTTATACTAGTAAATAGTTTTACTCTTAATATTTTCTTCGAGATAGTTATCTCGCACGTACGATTGGTACGATGACTTAGTGTCGAAAGCCTACGTTAGACTTCATTAAGTATACATTTTAAAAATCTTACGAATTCGTGTTTGGGGGGAACTGGTTTCACTAATCTCGTATTCCCACGCGCTCTCTTCGGATGTATCTAATGATTAAAATAAAATAAAAATCATAATAAAATTTCAATTATAAATTTATTACAAATAACCTTGCTATGCTACCTATTTATTATATTATATATTTTTTTGCTAACCTATTTGAGGTAATAAAGAAACAGACGTATGACTCATAGACGATTACCATAACGAAAATTGCACGTCAACGTTTTTACGAAAATTAAACAATGCCAAAGGACAAAGAATTATAACAGAGGAATAATATTATCCCCGATATACCTTTGGGGGAGTCAAGTACACGAAGCACATAAAAAATATATTTATTATTTACACGATTTATATCGTGTGCGTTCGTTCGTCGGGAAACTCATAAGAAATGCAAACTGCACTTTACCGACCGAATAGAAGAAAACAAGGAACAGAGAAATATATATATATATACGTGTGTATAAGTACTACACCACAATTGATCTTTAAAGTTGTGAGGTAACCAAATAAGGAGAAAAGTCACAATAGGCGAAAAACATGTCGTGTTAACTATTGACTATTCGATAATCTGACAATAACGGTATATTTAAAAAAAATTGAGATAATAAAATTTTAATAGTTATACCAGCTATAATCATAAGCTTTATATTGCAAAAACCCTCAGTTGGAACAAATAATACACAGTTTTTGCAGAGTATATTTTTTTTTATATAAAAGATATTATCAAAAGACGTTTGTTATATTGTCGAAAGAAAAAATTAACATCTTTTTCATTTGTTTTACTTATTTCTCAGTGAAAATCCTCTCACGGATTTCTCCGTTTTACATAATGTTAAACGTGCGACTTTTCTTGCTCGATTAAAATATTCCCTGCACACACACACGCATAAACGTACATACCCATACACGTACACACAGAGAAAGAGAGAATGGGCGAAGAAAACAGTGGTTTCTCTCGGGCAACAATAAGGGTTAATGGTTCCTCGGTAAAGGGACAGAATCGCAAAACAGCATCTGCGCTCCCATGCACTTAGTTTAATTTCGGTGATTTGTATTCTAAATCCGAAACGCGCGTTGCTCACGTGGACAATTAGTACACCGTGTATATAGACGGTACTTGAAGCTCGCAAAAACCTGGTTACAAGTGCTCAATTTTGGGCACGTTTGGTGGATTAGAAAAAATATTTTATCACAAAATGGTAGTGAACCCTATCGCGACATTTCGGTGTATTTCATAAATATATTTATACTGTATAAAGTCGTTGAACATTTTCGGTGAACATTTTTAGTCATTATATTTACTCTTCTTGATTATATTTATCCCTAAACTACACAATAATATTAAATATAATTGAATATCCACACAACTTTTAATCTTTTTACGCTTATGGTTATCGTATTTAAAAATGAACCAATAAGCAGATAGATATTATTGCGAAACAATTTTTAATGTTTGTTTTTTCATTATTAGCTCTTCAGTTACTATTATACTATAATGATAAATACTTTTTGCGATCCATAATTAGCATTCTACTTTTTAAGTTCGTCTCCACAATGACGAACGTGTGTTGTATGAAATCGATTGTCAACCCTTTTACACACCCTCATTTCCGATCTTTTGTGTTCGTACAGCTCAGCGTGGCATATGAAACGCAGTCTACCGCAATCGGCTACGTCAATGTCCCTTCATGCAAACAACTGCAAGGCAACCATCTGCCATTAATATTTACTAATGGAAAAGTCACGTTTTTTAGTAGTTACAGCGAAAATTTTACAAAACCTTGAAAAAAACTATTTTATGAATCATTTAACTATACCATATATATAATATTACATTCTTACGTTTTTTAAAAGAAATTATCCCGTCATTTAAAATAAATGTATAATTGTATAGATTTTCGAAAAATGTATCAAAATGACGAGTACCTAAATTTAAGTGAAAATATAAAACGTGCCGTAAAGTTTTCCCATGTTAATCGTTTCCATTGTTGGAGTATACTACACTAAACACCGAAGAAATGACCCGTTAAGTCGGTCGATAAGACTGGAAGTTTGTGTGTTATTCTGAGTGCATCTTTAACTATAGTTATTAACGGCTTAAAGGAAACTGCGAGTGAACTACCCGCGCATCGCTGCAAAATACACAGTTTGATGAATATTACACCCAAATTGAATCGATCGCATCAATTTAATTCAATTCCAGCTTAAAGTCGATTTAATTTCTAGTTTTCATATATATTTACAATGATTACAAAGACAACCGATTTCAATCTGCACCTATAATATTACTTTATTGCTCATTTCACTTACATTCCATTATTGAATTAAAAAACCGAATCGTCAGCAGGTTATTAAAGTAGTGTTTATTTCGTGGTATAATTTTCTTAAGCATTTTTGGCACAGTTAATAATCAAAACGATGAAATTCGTGTTTCAGAAAATAAAACCACCAACACGCAAATTTTATCCAATATAGAAAAAAAATACATACACTAAACACCTGCAACAATACTATTGAAATTATATATTTATTCCAAAAATCGTCCATTTATTTTCATAAAAATCGACTTTTCGCTTTTAAAAATAAATAAACTTTGAAATCATTACTTGGAATTACCAACGACAGAAAACGCAAAGAAACTTCATTTTTTTTCAGACGATTTACCAAACGAAATAATTCACTTTCTGTAACCTAGCTAAACTACATGATGTATAACAATACGCATCGTTTTAAACCATTTACGGTAATATTACTAATGTGTATGCCTTTTTCAAAACTATCTGTAGTTTTTCCGGTTAACAGCGTTATTCGTTTACCCTGCACGGGAAATTAAAACACACTCAGCAAAGATGTGAAAGGGTGAAAAAAAAAATCGTTAAAACTCATATTTTAGCCGTCATAAATCCTAGTCTCGCATCTTCTGGTGATATTTCCTCACCCAAAAGCATTAATGTGTCGTATATAATTAAATTTAATGTTGCTGTGTGCATAAAACATCGTCGATTATGTCACCTTACAATCCCTGTAATTGTACCCAACAATGGCGTGCGTTACAGCATCGGGTCTCAGCGGTACCTGGCATGCTGTTTCTATTACGTCCGTAAGCTGTCGATCAAATACCAATTATATTGCGTGACAAATATGCAAACAAACAGTAATAAACAAGGCAATTTTTTCATAATACGGTGAAAAAACACTCTGTATATGTTTTACAGAATAATAAAATGTCGTATTTTTATTGAATACTTTAAGGACAATTCGCATAAATGTCTCCCAAAAAAGTGACGCTTTTACATCACATTCAGTTCGGTACACCCCACGTGCACGTGTCATAACTCGTAAATATTAAATGCTCGGGAATAGGGAATAGCCCTTCGAATGTAAGTTTCACACGTCCTGAGGTCACTGGCCCCAAGAAAATTATAGTGCATAATATTCAAACTGAATATTGAGCTCTAAAATTATTCAGAAATTTTTTTTTTTTTTAAAGCAAATTTATTTTGAATATGAATAGTGTATGAGTATATCGTAATATTATAATAATAATTGCTTTCTCAGAAAAAAAAATTAAACGATTTGATAGATTTTCAATTTATTTTTCTAGTTTCGCACAATATCAAAGTCGTGTTTTATTCATTACATTTCAGTAACAAATACATTTATAGACAACGAAAATATTTCAGCAAATTATATTTATGTTCAATACATTCCTATAGCCGAACTATCAAAACGACGTTATCGACATTTTGATAAATTTGTGTGTTCAATATTAAGTAATCGAGTGATAGGTTTTGAATATTTATGAATTATTTTGATCATCAGTACAACTTTAAAATACTAATTCTAGATACATTGAATAATACACAAAAATCGAGTAACTGTTATTAATTTTATTTTTGGTAAACGTAAGAAAAAATTAACATCGAAAATTGTATTTTTCAAGTACATAATATTATTGTTACTTTTGTCGTTTTGACACTTTCTATATTTATTCATGCTAAAGTTTTTAATTGGAATATATTATTTTGTTTTATTCTATAAATGTATTGATAGTTAAAAAATGATGCAATCAATTATGTAATTTTGAAGACACATTTTAATCTCGATATACGCACATTAAAACCTTCACATACTGCTACAGCTTTAGCTTTAATTAGAGGTTTTAAGACATTGTTTTATAAGATAATAGATCTTTTTCGTAAGCCCAAAAGTTTATTAAAAACTTTTCTGTTTTATACTGAACCGACACAAAACTACGTTGCAGTTTTAAGATCGGCAATATGAGAAGATGACTCCTCAAAAGTTTGTTTGAAACTATAAGAAACTAGATTCTCGATCTGCTGGCTTATTGTGTCAAAGAGTTTGATGTTCGAGTATTAGAGATATCGGCTTAATACCTCACAACAATACGTCCTTATAAGTTAACACCCTTATAGTCTTTTAGCGTTAGTTCATCATTAACGGCAATAGCACGCGTAAATAAGGGACGCAGCGGCTCGTTTTCGTTAACTCGTAGAAATAAACAATGTTCGATCACAGTGGACGGAATAATCGAAACGTTTGTTGAGTATACTCATTTTGACTGACTAGCGTTTTGTATAAGTGCGTCCTATTTATAATAAACACACAATGACACGTGGTGGTATTGTAAATGGGACATGTGGTGTTCATGATATTGCAGTCAGCACGCGGTAATCCTATATGGTATAATTACACCCGACAATCCGGATTAACTATTTGATGAGGTTATATAAAATACCCTCGAGTATAATGTGTTGGCCGTGGCGCTACAAAACCAGTAGAGACGTTAATGAATACGTTGATGAGGGTTAAAAATATTTCGTGGGCTTTTAGCCCGGTCATTTTATAGTGCAGACTATGTTATTAACCTGCTTTATCAGCTAACGATATATTTTAATGCAGCACTCCTCCCGAAATCGGATTATTCTCATTGGAAAAGAAAAGGTAAGGGGGTATGATAATGTATTCGTCCGGTATGTAATACCACCGATATTCTGTTAACGACCAATAAATGATACATACTTTTATAACATCGTTTTGAAAGAATATCTGACTGCATGTTTTACTCATGAGACAATTATATGTATCTTATAATATAGTAGCGTAAAATGATCACGTTTTTGGAAAATAGTGAAGCAAAATAATTTTTAACGTTAAGTTGTACGATGGTTTTAAACCGAAAAATTATAGTAAATAACAACATTTAAGTTGTATGCAAAATATTTACGTATTTTTAAATATCTTTTTGAGGAACCGACTTATTATCTTGATTATGTTTAAATAATTAATATTTTTACGCGGTTATAAAAAATATTAGTGCCGAAATTAAATCTCATAATAATTTTTTTGGTTGAACAACTATAACATTATAAATTATTTGATAATTAGCAGTACAATTCGCCAGTCAATAATCGTTTTTATTCATATTTTACATTACCTACAACTTTATTTATTAATATTAATTAAATTTGTCAAGCTTCGTAGAAGTTAAATGGTCGTATCTCTGTTCATTGCTTCTGTATAAATAAAAGCTACAGTTTAATATAAATATTTGATTTTTTTTAAAGACTACCCGTGTTCAATGGTATTATTTGGTTTCTTTTGGATAGGTAGAAAGACGGTTTATTTTTGTTTCGTTTCTCATATTATAATTTAAAATTATGAATAAAGCTTTGACGTTTGACAATCGACATCAATAGGTTCAGGACTTTTGGATATTGATTTCTATTTTACATTGAAGTAAATCGTATCAAAGGCGACTTACCCCACGCCAAACGTTCGTGATGGTGAAAGGACGTGCGCTTATATAGTACGTAATTGATAACATCAAGTTTACCGAAGCGATAAACGAGGCGGTCGTGTGCTCGTTCGTCGTATTCAACTTACACCCCTCATGGTGCTGTCCCGAGCCGACAAATTATCATCTTGTGTGTCGTCGAAACGGAAGACTTCACATCGAGTTATCCTCGCGGGATTATCGTACATGAATTTAGGGATTATAATACGCGTGATATGTGTTACATGACGTATGATGTATAAATTACGTTTTTATTTTAGCAAATCTAATAGCATTGTACGAATCTGATTTCAGATGGCGAATACAGTGACACCGTGGCTGAAGAAGGTAAGATTTAAATAATAATATTTTACAATTACTACTGATTAAACATACTTGACCAATGCTGTTACTATTAGCTTTAAGCTATACCTATTAGAGTCAATAAACCTATCGTTTAACTATGGTTTTCAATATCTTTAAAATTAATCGTGCTGCTGTTAATGAAGCTATTTTAGGATCGTGTATAATAATTACCACACAAAGTACAAAACGTAAGCTTCAAACTGGGCGGATTGTATAATATATTGGGTCCAAATTGAATAGGCGTCTCCAGTTATTACTGTTATTATTTTGTTTTCATCTAAACAAAAATAAATAATTTAACTTTCATGTATACCAATGGAATAATTTCGGGTTATAAGACATATTTGTTAAATTATAATATAGGTTATAACAGTATGCTCACCATCAATATTCTAGTACATTCAATTTACAAAAAGATTAAATAATCATTGCGGTAAAATTAACTTAATTTGACGTTTGATACGTTTTACTACAAATTCTGTCCCAGTGGAGTATAAGCAGCACATTTTATTCGATTCATTAAATTAAAAAGAAAATGTTAAAAAAATATTAGTTAATGAATCCAAACTACAAATTATACACGTTCACTGAAACAACAGCCACTCGAGACTCGAATACTTTTTTAAAAGTTTATATCATTTTAAAATACATGTATATATGTATTTTTTTTTTCAATTATTTGCCGACCTAAAATCGTATTTTGCGCATCAAATATTAAGATGACGGCTGGCGGTGAACAAAATAAAATGCTTAATTCGATTAAGGGTATAACTGGAAACGTGTACCAGGTGTTACTCCGACGTGGACGAAAAAAAGGGGATTAAAAACTGGGTGGCGAAACGTACACCCGGTCGTCATTTTTGCATAATTCATTATAAAGTTTTTAGCGCTCAACTTTGCATGACGATAATCGCACACTCGTAATTTCACTTGGACGCTCATCCACAAAGGGGAAGGTACCGCGTACAGGCGTGCAGAAAAAAATAAAATTGAAGAAATTCAAATGTACACGTACAGTGAATTTTATACATTCGCGCGCGCGCTAGCCACATTCGGACCGTCTCCTAATAAATCATTCGCTTCGACGAGATATGTGTGCGCCCAGCAGTAGTGAACTTCGAGGGCGACCCCGACGATTTATGGGTTTCGAAAGATTTTTATCGTTGACCGGCCAATTAAATTTCCCGGGCGGAGGTGTAAATCGTGGGGGGGGGGTACGTTGACCGCCGCCATTAGTGCGAATTCCCCGTGCTCTGCGCTGCACGCGGCTCTCTCTCTCCCACCCCATGATATGAATGTCTCAACCCTTGTGCGTACGCGCGTGTGTGCTTGCATGTGAATATTCATTGTGTTGGAAGGCATAAATTAACCGCCACGGATGTGCGGCAATAATTGCTGGCCCCGGATTTACCACCGCCCGCGCGCGTACACGGAATGGGTCGAACTGTTACGGGCTCGCGGATGTGGTCACGGAAGATTGATCGGAAGTCGTATATAGTGTCGATTTTGGCAAACCGGCCAGGCACCGCTACCACTGCCGCACCGAATGCTTTAACGCGAATGGGCTTGAGGCCAAAAAAATAAAACGCCGAAAATCGTCTATATCCGACGAATATGTTCGCTAATGGAATTATATTGATTTAAAACCCATCCTGCTCGCGCCCAGAGGCTTAAACATTTCCCAACAGTTGTCTATTTTACTAAGACGTTTTCGACTATTTTCGACCGTTTTATTTTTAAACACCATTTTTTCTCGATTTCTTTTTTTTTTTTTTTGAATTTATCTAAATATTTGTTTTGTTCGACTTTAATATACACGAAACCAACAATAGCTTTTTCTGAAATATTTTTAACAGTCATACTTTCGCCAACGGAATTATTTAGAGTCCCATTTTCGTACAAACATTTATTACTACCGATTTTTGGTATTTATATTTTCAAATAGAATAATATTTTTATTTTATCAAAAATACTTATATATTCGTAAGCATGTATACTTGCATATATACTCATATATACATATATATGCCAATGTACCTATGCGTAGTGTACTCGTGTTTTCTAACTGTTTTCCCTGAATTAAAGCATTATTGTTTATTATGGTATAAGCATCCTATTCGTTTTTTAGATGAACGGTTGATGGGACTATTTTTATTAATGCAGATCCGTATCATCGTCATGGTGGTTCACCACAAAACTATATATTAATATATCATATTTTTAAAAAAAAATAAAATAATAATTTTTCCCCGCCACAAAGGGTGTCGATCATTTAAAAACAATTTGCTTGTAGATACGCGGTAGGTGTTCCCCGGAGACCGTCGTACAGTTCTATTATTACTACGTACGCAGGCCCCTGGGGTAGTACAGGGACAGGGTGGCGTACACAAGACAAATGACCCCGAGGGTTTTCGAGTCGCGTATATACGGATTTGAATTGAAACAATAGCCGAGCACTAATTCAAAACTGGTTAAGGCCGGGCACGGGGAGGGAGGAAGTAGATGGGTCACATTATTGCGGTTTTAGCATGTACCAGCAGTATTGTATTCATTGTATAGTGGTGGTGGCGGGTGCGGCGGCGACGGTCGGTCGGGCGGCACAGCGAAAGGGGTGTCGGTGGCGTCAATTTTGGCTGCTTACTTGCTTACTTGATGTGTATGTGCTTAATGCACCGCGAACAATATGCCTGCGGGCCACGTGACAGTTGGCAAAGGAGATTTTATTCTCAAGTACTCGTCGTACTCCTGTAGAACTTAACAAACGGTTTCTGTTGGTGTTGATCTATTGTGTGTGTGTGTGTGTGTGTGTGTGTGTGTATATATGTATGTACGTGTACATCAGTTTAAAAGAATAATCATTATCATCGCTGTACATAAAAATGTATAATAGACTATGCGATTTGCATAATGTTTTAGATTTTTTAGAAAAAAATGTCAGTTTGTGACCTCGTAAAATTTTGTTCCCTCGCGTCCATTTTCAGATCAATTATTATTATTCGTTTAAAAACAGAACAGTTAAAATAAGTGGAGCATTTCAGTCGAATCATTACGTGCGACTAAAACAGTCGAAAACAGTCGGTGTTGCTGCAGCAGTGGTTGGATAAATAACTATTTGCATATAAGGATAACCGCTACCACGGCTAAGCATCAATACGTATATAGTACGTCTCTTACGCTTCGAAGAAAGATCCTGTTTAAAATGCATTTATCGCTGAACCCTCTTGAGAATAGCTGTTTTTGAACGCGTGGGGTGAGATGAGAGCCTTTTCTACTCTAACCCCCCATTCAAGTGCTAATGGTTCGGTGAATACTCTGTTTAGACGAGGGAGCTAGGAGAGAAGTTGACCGAGAGATGAATTATAATGTCGGGTCAGGTACCGAAAATCTCTGACAACGATATTTTCAGCTAACCAACTCGAAAATGATTGATCATTCGGCTGGTCGTTTGTACATATTTAAATATTTTTATGGCTTGTTGGTTTTCTTTTTACCATAAGAAATCTTTACTTGATATTCTCTATACTCACAATCTAATAATAATCATCGAATTCGAATATTTTGCACATAAAATCATATATGATATAAAAATTATATGAGTAAAATACTAAATGACAATTGTCTTCATTTTATTTCGTGTAACATTTTTTCTACCTATAGCACATTGCTAATGTTAATGTAAATTATGTTTTTATGGAGTTCGGAAATGTGTGCTTAGAAGTATTTTACAAACACTGGTAGCCGTTAGTTAAATCGGTCGGAAAAGTAAACGCCGATCTATAGATATACTCAGCTTGGGCTTTTACGATTTTATGGCCAAAATAAATATATGTTACTGCTACTTCCGTGCCAGTATATCTTATCTGCTACGTTAGCAGAGTCTTTGTCCGAAAAACGATTAGGTTTTTTTTTATGTCTATTTTAACCTAACCTTTAAAATACGTATGGTATGTTTCGACGCACTTTCGTGAAACATATCACCAGTGAAAAAATGTACTTTACCTGTATTTTATATTTCAGCTATCGATGGTCATTGGTCAGCTTGGACTCCGTGGTCTCCATGTGGTGTTGACTGTCGTCATCATCGTACTAGGACTTGCACTTCTCCTAGCCCTTCAAACGGTGGACGGTACTGTGTGGGCAGAGATACATTAACCGGCAATTGTTCAGGAGGTTCTTGTATAGGTAAACAATAAAAATAAGTAATATTATGTATAATATTACTTCTTGTTAAGTAAATTATTTTTTGTACGAATTAATAATCATTAATATTATTATTACTATCAATATAAAATATTTATTTGGGTTTTTCAACATAAATTGCTTACTAAGTATTACAATTTATTTTTCAATCCATTTTCTAGGGTAGATAAATTAATTGCATTTATGTTCGTAACATTATTATTCATTTCGCCGTATTTGTATACATGTAGGTATTTTGTAAATTTAATTTTTATTATTATACACATAAACTATAGAAAAAAAAAATTCAAATTTTATGATGCAAAAATATTATCTTGCATAAATAATAAAAAATAACTTTTATTATATACCTACTTGTTGTTTCAGGTGGCAGAGATGACCCTGTGAATTATGACGATGAACAATTCACTGAAGAAGGTACGTGTAACTCGATACATGATACTTATATTATACTCAACGTTTTTATAGTCCCACTATTCGTGATAAAGCTGAAATGTGTATTGATTTAAAAAACCTTTAAGGATGTTAGTATCGAATCACCTCGACGTAATAAAATGAGGCATAAATTTCAAAATGCTCGCTTATAAAAAAACAAAAACAAATAATATTGAACTTTATTACATTATACTTCTTTGTCGCATTCCACGTATGAATTGACGACAAACTTCATGTTAGGATGTAAGCCTTTAACAAATTTCTAGCATGTTTATATACCATTATGAGAAAGCCACTTTGAAACTGTCACGCGTTATTAAATAATAGTAATAATATGACATTGTATTTAAATAATTTTTATGTAAGCATAAAATAAATTCCAATAATTTATTTAAGCTGTTAGATATGTGTTGTTAGATCTCTCAAAAGCTTAATAGAGGAAATTTTGAATAATATATTTTCCCATTTATACATAAGTATTTATGTGTGAATTCGTCTGTGAGTTTGTATGTGTTTCTAACGGTTGTCGCCCAGAAAGTTTGGCAGCTATTATGATTGGGTTGGAAGAGAGGGTAGTTGAAGATTAAATCTCTCGCGCACTGCTGTGCAGGATATCCAGAGAAATTCAATTATATCAACAGGAAATTAAAATTGCCCTACGTAAAAAAAAAAAGGAAATAGCAAAATGATATGGCTGTTTTAATTTCATTCTCAAACATTGGCCATCCGCTACGAGAAAATATTTACCGAATACGCATAAACAATATTCTAGAAATTTCTTTTTTCTTTTTTTGCGTTCCTTTTGATGACTTATATTATTTAAATAACCTTAGAACACTTATAGGATACCGTAATTTGATTTTAGTAATCGAATCTTAAGAAAATACGTGTTTTTGTGATAGTAAAGTTGAATTAAAAAAATAAAAATTCCCGGAGTGTTAACGCACAGTTCAAAAAAAGCGTGTTACGTCATTCCAATTTCAAACAGCCTTCGAGTATTATTCGTCGGTAACACTACAATTACCGAGGAGACTTTAGATGCAAATGGTTTTTTCACAACTATCCGGAAATTACAAGTGAAAAACTCTGTGACGGAAAATCCATTTTCACTTTATTTATATGTTTCTTGTTCTCTCGTTTTTGGACGAATATCACATGGACCTTTTTTATTTTTCTATATAAAACCTTCAGATATTTTTAGAAAACCCTTAAAGCTTTATTGATAGGGGTATGTGCTGTAGCTCCTCTCCTTGATTCTGTGTTCAACGGTCTTAAAACGATAGGCCCCTTTATCATTCTCGAATGTGTCATGCTATAAAATATGAAGTATGAAATCATCTTTAGAGCACAACGGCGGATGCATCGGAATGTGGGTTTGAATGGAAATGTAGATCATGGGCAGGCGGAGGGATTGTTGTATTACATAGGAATATTTAGAATCTCTTTGCTGGGGTGCAACATGGTTTCCGGTGATGTGACGTATGGACAAATTGTCATCGTAACGACAACGACATGTAACTTCCAACCCCTTATTCCGAATAAAAGCAGTCTATACGAGGGATGATGAAGTGACACCGGAAGGAAAAAGTTTATCCGTGCAGAGGAAGGAATAGTTACAAAAATAATTGCTGTGCTTCGGTTTTTTCGTCTTAGGGTGGAGTGCCTGGCTATAACGTTGACAATGATATCCAATGAAAACATTAGTCATACAGTCCATCTCAATTAGATAGTATTGATTTTCACTCTGTGTTGGAATTATTTCTAACATATTACACCCCAGTTTATACAGAAAAAATATATAATAATAATTTATACTTCAATGTAGAAATATTGTTAAATCTATATAAATTCATAGCTTGTAAAATTATCATTAATGCTATTTACGAGCACTCCAGACTTCAATGTATATCATCAATTGTTCAGAAGTCGTATCAATTGTTCTTAAATGAGTTGCTACATTGGAGTGTTTAATTGTATGACATTTATATACAATACTATGGGGTTCTTTGTCTTATTATAATTGATTAGGTTTTTTTTAAAAATAAAACTATAATTTAAAACACAGCGGTAGATAATGAAAAGAAAAAACATTACTCATAATTAAATTAGACCATAGGCGTGCACAGGGGTATGCAGGATATGCAACTGCATACCCTGAACATAGAGCCTTGTTTCTAAAAATACCAACAAAAACAATTAAAAAAATATGACATATTTGATTTTTAAATTTATACTATATGACAATGTATTACATTATAATTATTATTACATTTTTTATTCAGTCCTAATTATATATATTATTTATACTAATATAATAGCGATTTAATATATTAATAAAATTAGAAGTATTTTGTACTTCAAGCAGTGGCAGCCTTTTGCATACTCTGAAAAAGAGGTATGTGCACGCCTATGAATTACACTGAAATAATTTCGTATGTTAAGGGGAATAATTGTAATTCATCAAAATTTAAAAAAAAGTCAGTTGGATGTTTTTTATTTCAAATATAATTTCATTAATTATATTTCAATATAAATTTATATTTTAATTTAAATCTACTTTATTTTCGTTGGAAATCATTATTTTTATGAGGAAAAAGTTTTATTGAGATTTGTGTAAATATTCATATCCTTACTGGATAAATTTGAGCTTGATGTAATTAAAATACATGCATCATATTTTAATTTAAATAATACAATTTCACTCATAACTATTAGGAAAAAAACTAAAAATCGATAAATATTCGCTTCTCACGTGTATAAAGGTATGTATTAATGTCGTTGGATCGTTTTCAATTACATTTGCTCCCGATCAAAGACACCAAAACAAAAGATTCACATTCAAACTGGCACGGGATAGTGGTAGAGGATTCCACTGTCGACCGTTTTTCAATACTTATAATGAAATAGTTCCGTTGAATCGTATCCGAATTACTTCAGGAATAGGGTCTTTCATGTATAAGACAATCTGTGAAAAGGATACCGCTAGTAGATGACCCTCCCATCAAAGTCGGTATCATTCCTTTTACATCGGATTTTCTTCGGTTGATTGGCCGACTGATATAATTGAACGTCCTGTGGTGCTTTTTGACTTCTGACAGTTAGTTTTAATCCCACCAAAAAGTTTAACCTCCTTTTGCCACACACACGAATCTTAATTAAACTTTAAACCGTCTGCACTCCGATTCGATTGAAAACATTCTCCACTGAATTCCTAAGAATCCTCCAATGCAACGGGTCAAATATTTCAGTTTATTTGAACTTATACAATACTGCTGGACATTGGCAAAGTTCTTACGACCTTATCCTCATAATATGAACCCACACGCACACTCATACATCCATAGTTTACGATTTTACTGTAAATAAAACAGGCGCGGGTTCCAAGTAAAAAAATCGATGAAACCTCAACCGGCATTAAAACGCTAGGCATTTGATCTCAATGTGGGCTAATCCTTTAATTGAACCTACCTACCAAGTTTGAACTTAATTGGTTTGCAGATAAACTATTGTTGTGCTATGTTGCGGCAGTGGTGATTTTATCGCATAAAAGTTTTTTTTTTTATTTATTTATCATCCGGCACTTTGCTTCACATGTAATATAACTTATAGTACAATGGAAAAAAAACAGTAAATTATTTGAAGGTTGACGCAGCTACATTTTTAAGCAACTGAATAAAAACTTTTTACAATGAAAAAATTAAAATCAATGTAAATCGAAATAATTTACTTACTATTTAAATAAATTGTAATGTCATCTCAAGAATCACGTTTATATATTTTTTACCATTAAAGGTTTATCGAAATCATCAACCATACATTTTCCTTAATATAAATACGAATCCTGTGTGAAAAATGACTCTCTAAACCCTGGATATTTTTATTCTATAAACAAATTAAGAAAAATGTAACTCCACGATAACTATTTTATCTCGACAATATATAAATATAAATCACTATCATAATGTAATTTAAATTCTATTATTTTTTTAATCCAATCACATTATACGTTCTTGTAGATTTAAAATTTTAATTTAAAAACTCGTTTGGAACTGCCGCTGTTTTTCAATGATTTTTAATCATTTAATAATCTTGCGTTATTATTTTCATAAAGATATTTATAATAGAAGTTAAATTGAATGGTTTGAGGTTTGACTTAAATAGTTGTTTAAATGTTTCATATGTGGACTTCAGTTTATATGAAATGATGTTTTAATAATTATAAATTATCTTACATAATTAAGATTAATTGCCTCTATACGTACCATCCTTACGTTACAATGAAATGCAATAAAAATTAAAATAATCATTAAATTATATTCGGTAAAATAGATATTATTTAATGATTTACTTTAAGCGGACTGTAAATGATAAATTATATAACGTAATATTAGTTATAAAATACGTAACTTCTCGCACTATTTTTAATATAATTCAATGCATAATAAATTTGCAACTCCTCATTTGGCGTGTTTGAAATTTGAATTATTCCACACCAATTACGGTGTTTCGATAAGAAAAAAAAACTTGATTTCCTAATCCTTTTTCCGTTCTGTCATATTACTTTGAGGACTTGAATAATAAATTATCCTTAATTAGTTGTCACACTTTTTTCACGCTGCGGCTGTATCGATTAAAAGATATACGTGTGAAGTTAACGAACGAGTGTCCAGTTTTGTTTACATTGTTTTTTTTTAATGCTTTTTTTTGTTAAAAAACAAAAATGTAACCGAATGATTTCCAAGGGAGGTTAAGTGAAACGCGCGCGCGTCCTATCTGCATATCTGCTGCAGTCACCGACGTGTTAATGACCCCGCGGGTAATTAAAAGTAGGTACAACATTGTGTTTTTTTTTTATACATATATAAATACTCGTGCCGTAAAAACAATATAATAGTAATAATATTAATAATACAGCCGCCCCATGTCCGTAGCGAGTTGAGCAATTATAACCCGTGGAAAAATAAGACGGCGTGTGGACGATTCGTGTCAGAGCGCAGTTATATAGGTCCGATAAAATCAATTCACGCGAACATAAGACTAGTCGCCGACAAAGTTTTTGATAAACCGTCTAATAACACGAGAGAAACTTGTAACTGGGGATGGAGAGAGCACGACGATGTTTTTATTGACTATCCATCGATTTTATTGGGTATTAGTGCGAACGTGAACACGTGTGATGGTTCGGAAATTTCACTCGGGAGCCCAAAATTAGTTAAACCTTAACCCTTAATACCATTTCCTCACCACCGTAAATCTTGTACTCTGAGAAAATTAATTTGAAAACATTTTGCCTTCCCAACTACTCGTATCGCTTTTGAAACACGCTTATTACATTGTTATTATTATTATTTTACTTGGTTTTTCTGTTCTTTTTCGTACATTATTATTAATCATAAAATGTATAAGTTTTACAAACAAAGTTTGACACCTAAATCGAACCACTAAAAATATGTTTTAAGTAAAAATTCAGTTAAATAAAAACAATATTATTCACACATCAATGATGATTCAATTATGGATTAAAATTAACCTATGAATTACATTCTCGAAACATTTTTATTCATACTTGTATTGATAATGCTTTACATTTTTTTTTTTTTTTTTGATAAAACAAACCAATTTATAATGTCGGTTGTTAATATGTATTATATGTATAATATTATCTAAATATATAATTGGTTCATGCATTTTTAATAAATATTAATGGTAATTTTTTTTTTTAATATTTCTGAAACAATTGTCACAATGAGACTACAGTGTGTTATTTTATATTATAAAACAAAGTTATTTTCTTTTTCAGCGGCTACTAAATCTGTTGTGGAGACCGATGTGGCACTGTATGTAGCTCTGGTGGCCGCCTCCATCTTGCTAGCCGGCATGGTTCTGCTGTTCCGACTGTATAAGAACAAAGGCCGGGATCACAGCATGTATAACATGGCCAACTCTGGTACGTATTATTTTTATTATTACCGGTGCGCGGCTGAGAATATATTATTATAATCACAGCATAATGTTATACAAAGCGGTGTGCACGCGCGCAGGCCTTGAACTCTAACGAAATACGATCGATTGATTCGTTTTCAGCGTACGAAAAAGAGATACTACGTTCACCGAATAATAATTAAGAAATATTTATAGTCCTGATACCACCGTGTTCGCGGCACTGCCAATTCAAATTCAAAAAAAAAAAAAAAAAAACATAGTATTAGAAAACATAGCTTGTGCGAGCAGTAACGTATTCGAAACCGAATATTAAAAATGTAATTACCGCGAAGGACGGGGAAACGTGGTTAGGACGCAGTGTCGCGTCGTTACAGAGATATTGAGAGATAGAAACAAATGACAATTTTTCAACAACAAAAAAAAAAAAAAAAAAAATGTTACCGTAAAGGCCCGGAGAGATTAAAAGTTTCGCTCGAGGGTTCACGGCAACCGAGACTTCATTTAAATGTCAATCGACACATTATTCAAGCGCTAACAAGCGACCTGTGTTCCGAAAGAGACCCCAACTGTAGTTTCCTTAATTGTGTTTGTATAATTCCGTCGGCGACGTTGGTGCAGCAGCGCCAAGTGTATAAACTACTTGACGTAATGCGTTAGGGAGAGGCGTTGGCAAACAGTGGCGAGTACAATTAATTGATTACGCACGCGCGCGTGCGGCCACTACGTGTCTTTCAGACGACACACACCATACGACATATAACACGTATTATCGTGATCTTATTGATTTTCTTCTTTTTTTTTTCATCGTTCCCAGACTTCCAGCCGGAATTTTTTCCGGACCAAGAGAAAAAGACTTACTCTCTGGAATGTCATTCGCGGAACGGTGGCTGCAACCATTTCCATCAGGCTCAGCCGGACCTGACCAGAACCGTGGTCGTGGTGCCGTCGTGTTACGAGTACCCGTTCACCAACGACCAGAACGCATACAGTTTGACCCGGTCGTGTTCGGAACATCACTATGACGTTCCGCATCACAACGGCGGCAGTTCGACCGTGACCACGGCCACCGTCATGGCACCGCCGGTCCCGTCCGTGGCACCTGATAGTCCGAACGCGCTTTCCTCGAGTCCGGAGTCCAGTCACAGCTTGACCAGCTACACTTGCTCGAGTGAGTGACGCGTTACAACGCAGCAGACGCGTGCGCGCGTGTGTTTTCGACGTAACGACTAGGGGGAACTAAAAATCGTTGTTTCTACCGCAGGCAAGTCCCAATCGGATTCCAGCGGCGTGGCGTGCCATTGCAAGGACTATTTGTGGATGAAAGAAACCACCGTTTCCGTGGCCGGTTGCCGTCTGGAGAGCAAAGAGTACGGGCTGTCGCTGACGATCCCTGAAGGTGCCGTCGCCAAATCTCAAAAGGAACCCGTGATGTTCGCTCTGTTACAGGACGAATACAAGCCCATACTCTCTGGTAATTTTTACATTCACGATCGTAATGCCTCGTGTTATTGTAAACGTCTCGATGTTTTTTTTTTAAACAAATGGGTTTTCTAGACGGACAGACGCTGTTGAGTCCTGCGGTGATGTGCGGCCCAAGCGGAATGAGCTTTAAGAAACCTGTGATCGTTGGAATGCGGCACTGTGCGAGTCTGATGCAAGGGCCTTGGGTGATTTCGGTGTTGAGCTGCGACATGCCCGTGGGCGCGAAACCCAAATGGAAGGTACAGTATACGCTCTACGGGGTCTAACCCAGTCGACGGAATAAAGAGTAATTTCTTTTCTCATCAGAAAATCTTAACGCTCGGGGAGGAAACCATCAACACGTCCGTGTTCGTGCAAATGGACGCGGAGCACGTGTTTTTGATGAGCGAAACTCTGTCCAAGTTCGTATTAGTTGGTGAACCTGACCGGACGGTAGTCAGCAGTCCACCAGCCAAAACACTGAAATTGGCCTTGTTCGGATCGTTGAATCGAAAGTTCAAGTACGATATCCGGGTGCACGTGGTTGACGACAATGGCGTGACTTTAGAGGTAAGTGATCGAACGCTGTGGCCGCGTTATTTTCGATAAGTTTGAAATAATCGTTTTTCTGTTATTTTTGCGCACAGAGGCTGAAGCACCAGGAACGAAGCGTTAGCGGAGGCGTGATGTTAGACAAACCAAAGATGATGTACTTTCAAGAGGGCGGAGGTAACCTGGTAGTGACCATCGACGATATAGGTGCCAACTGGAAAAGTAAACCTCAAGATAATTACAAGGTCAGTAGTGTACACGGTTCGATATTTTTGCTCGTCTTAAAGTTTACCGAATTAGCTGGCACGCAAAATCTCTTCCAGTCAATAGGATACGCATTTTTACCGAACGATTTTAAAAATAATAATTTAAAAACAAAAAAAAAAAACCGAGGAAAATGGATAAGTGACATGGTATAGGTAACTCACCTGTACCGGTCACTTCTATTTTTGCATTCGAGACCAACGTACGTATCCCTATTGGTTTCGAAAAACAATTGTTTCGAGTGAATTAGGGGGCGGGTGGACAAGATAGTCCACACTGACTATTATTATTTCGGTGCATAAAAGTACTTCACAGTCCCGTAAAAAGATCGGTTCACACATGTCTGACTTCGCAACATTTTTCCCGTCCGCAGGAAATCCCGTTCCAGACCCTCTGGAACTCGAACGGCTTGGCGGTGTTCACGTTGGAGCCGTACGATCAACAGTACCCCGACTCGTGGGTGAACGTGTCGTGCCGGGTATGCGTGTCGCAGACTGCGGCCACCGGATCGCTGCGTAACGTCAAACACACGTTCAAAGTGAACCAGGACCCGAACAGCCTGTCTTCCGTGGGTCATCAGTCCCGGCAACCGAGGACCGTGACCAGCACCACCGGCAGCGGTTCGAGCGTCACATCGTGTGACCCGACGCCGTTTCGGTAAGTTTCGACCGCAGCGACTCGCTTCTTGTTTCCCGTAGTTCAAAGTCTTCGCTTGTGTTTATTTTCTTATTCGTATTTTAGTTTCTCTTTCAACGCACAACGTGTTGAGTAAAACCCATTTTTTTATTTGTTGTTCGATTGTTTGTTCAGATTTGGTAAAGTCTTACGTAAGCAACTATGTCAATGTTTAGATCCGCCAAATTCTAGGAGCAACGACTGGAGGATGTTGGCCCAACGGCTTAACATGGACAGGTGAGCGTTTCTATCATACTAATTACACATTATTGAGTATCCCGCTGCAAACCTTGTTGTTATTATCCCATAACGAGTACGTGTCAAATCCGATCATAAGACCCTACTGTGGTTAGAAAAATTTTATTTTTCGTGTATCTTTCATTGCCCCATCAAGTTCGTTGAGGACACAACGAACTTCTTGCTTAAGTTCTAGGACATTTCGAACTTTGTTCTGGTAAACTAACCTGGGGTCGTAAGTTTCGTTTACACCAGGAACATCATATTTCAACTGGTCCATATAATATGATACATATAATGATTGTTGTGCGTTTACGCTTGACCGCATCGTTGACGTTTATTATTTCATGCGCATGCAGGTACATCAACTATTTTGCCGTCAAACCCAGTCCCACCGACCAGATACTGGATCTGTGGGAGGCTAGACACAGGGAGCCCACGTCTGTTACCGACCTGTTGAACGTACTGAGGTTAATGGGTCGTACGGACGCTGCCTCGCTGCTGGAACGCGAACTTGGACCGTGGCTATGAGCAGGAGCAGGAGCAGGAGTAGCTTGCCAACACTTCTGAGCAACGACACGAACCACGCGCACTCGTTACCGGTCACAGCCACCACACAGCAAACGCCACCGCCACTAGCAGTTCCTACGACGTATATTTTTATAAATCCACACCATGCCTTTTTTTCCCTTTTTGTTATGAATTTTTATTTTATTTTTTCTTCGAAATTTTACGTGTAAATTTTTCGTTTATAATATTATGTTGATCATATTTTTTCAAGTAAATAATAATAATTGTATTATTACTATCGACAATCAAAATATGTATTGTATAGATTAAACACGCATTTATCGTTATTTTCTGTGTTCGATTTGTATTCAATTTAAATACAACAGAAAACAAAAAGAATTACTAGATTGCAGACCACGCGTTAACAAGTTTTTCTTTTTTACAATAATGTTTTTCGTATTATATATTATTGTTTTTATAATTATTATTATTATTATTATTATTATTATTTCGAAGAAAATTTTAAGTCCCGGATAAAAGACTATTTTAGTGATAGATAATCTGTGATAAAAATTTGACGAATAAAAAATGAAGTTGATAAGTATAATAACGACATCTTTTCAGACAAAAACGAAACTCTTATTCCGTTTAAAATAATATTATCTTTCTGTCGGTTTGTTTTTTCTTTTATTATTATTGTACCGTGTTTTTACAGCACACTTACCATATATAATGTATAATTTAACCTATTCGATTTATATAATACGAGATAAAAAAAAAATAAAAAAAAAAAATGTAAAAATTATAAACTTATATACACGTACGGTCATGTGTATTTGCGCGTATATAGAATAGATGTACACGTGCATATATACATACATATATGTATATGAAACAAAGACTATTATATGTATTAAATATTATAATTACGTTATATTATTATGTGTTTATTATTTAATTTGTAAATAACTGTACCGATGTACATTTTAAGCTATACATATATATTATATATAACATTATTACTGTATATTGTTGATGACTGTATGACTCACTAGTTTTAAATGTATTATTATCATTATTATTATTTATTCTTATTTATTCTTATTATTTTTGTGTAACGTCTGCAAATTAATGTATAAAGCCGCCTTGCCGTAGGCGACCAACAGACAATATTTATAACTTTGCCTACGAAAATAATTATTTTAATAAAAACGTGTAAAAGAAAAAAAATACCTTAGTGTTAACATGCTGAGCCAATGATTTAGTTGATTTTTATATATATGTATAATAATATATCCATTGGACTTATGACGAAAAAAAAAAAAAATGGATATAATAAAATGTATTGTTAGTGGACAATAATTCGTGTGTTTTTTTTTTTTTATTCATCTGCTTTTCAAGTTTCTGCAGCAAAACTACAGTTACTCGAATACAAAGGTGTATGGAATATACAACTACAATAGGAACTAATTTTTACTTATCTTTTAAATGTTGAACGATTTCCTAACGCAGACATATGGTCGTCGACAAGATCATTTATACCGCTTTTATCCATTCGGTTACGTATTAATATTAATGAAAAATCAATATAATATTCCTTTTCTAAATCATAAAATAATATAAGTCAATAGGTAACCAATATTTAGTTTTCTAACGTATCAGTGGCGCCATCTATTACGAAGTGGAAACGCGGATTATATTATTTTCCATTATAATATATATATTTATACAATAATATTGCAAAATTTAAGTATATTATATATATTCACAATATTAACTATGTTAATACCAATAACGAAAATAAAAACCATGTTATTACATCCATTTCTTTGTCGGGATGTATTAAAAAAATCTAGGAACACAATAACGTTCTTAAAAAACGCTATCATATATAATTAATCAAGAATAAGACAGTATTACGATTAAATTGTATTAATTTGAATAAGTAAAATATAGACTGGAATAGGGCTGAATGTAAATGATTACAAAACCAAAGTGATGAAGCTATTACCAGACAACAACCAGGTCAACAATGTAGTGATTTAAGGACATATTAGTAGAAGTGCAACAATTCACATATCTAGGGGACTCCATAAGTGGTAATGGTAACTGATCCATCGAATTAAATAGCCGAATCATCAAGGCAGAAAAGTCGTCGTTTTCGTTAACCAAATACCTAAAATCTAAACTTTTCTAAAAGTACATCTCTATACAGCAATAATTTAGACCAACTATAACATATGTATGTGATGTATGGCCCTTAACAAGTAGAATGGGACAAAAACTTATGTTGTTTGAAAATAAAATACTGAGAACCTACATCCTCATCTACTACTAACTTATCTACATTCCAGTATATGTACAACAACGAGCTGGGGCGCTGACGCAGAAGAAGGAACAAAAAGATTCAAGAGTTAGCAGGAGTTCCGAGGATTAGCAACTTTGTAAAAGCACAAAAATAAAATGGTTTGGGCTCATGACGAGAAGGTCAGAGTACCTTAAAATGATGGTTGAGTGGAAAACCACGGAGAAAAGACCAAAAGGACGTTCAAAGAAGCGATCGATAAATAGAATAAAGTGGAACTTAGAAAAACTAGGGATACCAAATTGGGAAGAAAAAGTACTAAATTGAGAAAAGTGGAAAGAAGTGTCGGCGGTGACAAAAGAATCTTGAAGAGTTGTGATGCCGATGAAGAAGAAGAAGAAGAAAATATACTAGAATGTAATTAAAAATGGTATTAATTATTTAAAATAGAATTATTTAATTTTTTTAAATTTTTATATGATTTACAAAAAACCATAAACAAGGTGTAAATATATTGAACATTTATATTTATATTTGAGATATTTACTGCATTAGCTAAAAAGTAATATTTAAAATTTATTTAATTTTTATAAAAAAAAAAAACGAATTTATTTCATGAATAGAACATTATTATTGGAGTGTTTTGTAAAATATATTTATATAGAAAAGAAACATTTAAAAATGGAAAACTATGATTATTTAATTAATTTTAATAATTTAAACTTTTAAAATACAACAAAAAATATGGAAAGGGCCTTGGAACTCCCGCGAGAAATATGATTCAAGTGAAGTCAAAAAAAATTTTAAATTTATAAAAAATATACAAAAATTATAATTTTACGTTGTGATTCTAATTTTAAACTTAAAGATTTAAAATTTTGACAATTAGGTATATGTTTTAAAAATAATGAAATTGACTATTTAATATAGAAATACTGGTGATGAGATAACAAACTGGTCAAAAGAATTATTACCATAGGTACAGAATGACCAAGTTTAGCACATCAATCCAAGATTTCTGAAATAAAAACATTATTTGACTAATATAAACTTTAATATTAAATTGAACTGATATTTAAAGTTTAATTGTTCAAATACTAAATATGAAAATTAAAGGGAGTTTAATTGTCAGAGCAGCATATTATTTGATGTGAAAACAAAATAATAATTAGTTAAATACATAACACAAATATATTATCATGTAAAAATACCTAATAAAATAAATAACATTATTTATTAGACAATAAAGATGACTACACCATTATTTCACTGCTAAACAGGTGCCCATGACCTAAAAATAATAAAGAAAACTAATATCCAGTTCCAATATTCAAGTACGCAACCAAAAGTTAAGACATAAAATTTTAATGAACACTTTTTACTAATACGTATATAATAAACGAAAATTGTAAGACATGGGCCCCTTGCCAAATAAGTACCTGTAGTTTCAGTTAAATTCAGTCATTTTGTTATTTTTAACAATTACAATACAATACTGATGGACATTCGACTTCTTAATTTAGTACCCAATGGGAAATGAGTAATGCACGCAATTTTTCGAATAATTAATTGATTTGCTTTTGGTAAATATGTCTGTTATCATTATTTCGATTTTTCCATTTGATTATTCCCATCACTAGTTGTAACATCACCAGCAGAGTCAGTAAGTAATGTTGTTGAAGTTTGGAGGAAAAAACGACCTGTATCAGCTCGGGAATACAGTAAATTCAAATAAATTGCAATTTCTTTAGGGATACTCTCAATTTTGTTTTTCCAATAACCTGATTGAGGCATTAACCGTTTTTGCAACTAAAAAAAACATCCATCCGACGTTACGTTTGTGGGTCATAAATCCATATATTTCTTAAAAAATATCATATAACTCCTCTTTAATATTAAATGATCGTGAATAATTTGTTTTTGAGCAGAGAAGATTATTGTATAATATATATATATAATTAGATATTATAAATATCTACTAACGAAAAACACAAACGAAAATTGTGAAAAAAGCACCATGTTATTCGTTGATCGATGACAATCGAAGAACCAATTTCGGTCTCTCCGTCTATCTCATAAATTAACCTCATAACATAATAATGATGATCATTATAAGTTTATTGGTAACGTGTATGCAAAATAATCATTTAGCGTTTACTTATTCGTACTGATTAGGAAGTTATAAAAATCATATTCGTATTTGATCGTAACCGTCCCTATAGTCAATGGCGTAATTGTAGGGGGAGGGGCAAGTGCCCCTTCTGAAAATTTTTTGAGAGATAAAGGTATAATTTTGCCTCCCCAGATAATCCAACAGTACAAATAGCACCTTTTATTAATGAATTCTTATGGGTATTATTTAACAATATTAGTACCTAGTACCTGCTACCTACAATTTATGTTTATCTAAACCATAAAATGAGTTAAAAGACATGTAAAATCAAACAATTAGATATAGCGTATAAAATACATACAATAAAAATATGTTTTAACTGGTGAGGGGGAGGGGTGTCAGGGTTTTGGTAATAATAAATATATTATATTGCCCTCCCTAGATTTTTTCCCAATTACGCCACTGCCTATAGCACTTGAAACAACTTCTTCTTCGACTCTCATTTGCATACATTCGAGTGTACAGAAACCGCAACATGCGCCCACACACATTTCATTGGACACGTTTGAGTGATAGTGGAAACTTCAGGGTACGTGTGCATAAATAATATTTTTTATAAAGCGGCCGATAAAAAAATGACGTGTGTGAACAACATTTGATTCCGACGGGCATTCGGTGGGACACTAACCGCAGCGGAGACGACAACGCTGGGACTTGTTCTCAGACATCACAGCACTCGGACACCAGTGGTACGGTTACCGAATACCCGGTTGCTTGTTGTACACCGATCGACCGCACTC